AAATCTGAAACGCTCGTGAAAACATCTGGACAAATCGAAAGTTTTTTTCATGTTTACAGCCATTTTCAGCATGAAATAGCTTTTTTTCACTGTGAAACTAAGCTGTTGAATGTTATTTTTATTATCGTTTTGGGTAGACGCAAGTCATCTATAACTATTGGAATCGGTGAATATTTCATTGACAATTTTCTAACGAAGCTTAACTGTTCCGAAAAGATGAATGATGAAACTGTTTAGAAAATGCAAATATAGAAGTCTAGACATTCTTCAATTTTTGTTTGTTTTTAAATTCTTTTGCTTTTGTCATTGTATCTTTCTTCATCAAAATAAAAAGTAGAAGAAAAAGATTATTAGTATATTGTTGACCGTCCGTCGAGATTATCAATTTTCTATGGACAATACAATTTGATTTATCGTTTTGGTCTCATCTTTTCAATAACAGAGAGGTACTTGTTGTGACAAATTTTGATAGAAAAAGAAATAGTGTCAATAGAATTGTGCTGTATTCTGTTCATTCATAACATAAAATCTACATCGTTTACTTTTAGAACAGACTTTTATATAAACAACCACGAGAGAGGGAGAGAGTGTGGGTGTAAGTGTGGGTAAGATTTGATTTGAGGTACACCTACACTCACTTATATTTTTTCTTGCCTTAAACTTTCTGTTCTGGAAACAGATGTAGTTTGCTGATAATGGAACATCAAAAAGATTGAATGTTTAATCTGGACACTACATAATTTAGTGTAAACGATATCAATCATATTGATAGATATGAGTTTATCTATAATCTACCATTTATTAGTCTTTAGCCAAGCTCATCTGGTTAAAATCGTCTATTTGTTTCTTAAAATCACGATCGAGCCATGCCTAAAAAGTTAGAAAAATTTGATCTATATCTTCAACAATGATGTAGAAATATTTCATACTGGGTGTGGGTGTAGGTGTGACTGTGTGTATGACTGTGGGGTGTAGGTGATTCTCTTTACCCACACTCACACACACATCATTTCATTCGGCAGAACATTGGCGTCACAAAAATGAACAGTGCAGCTAAATTTCTGATGAAAACTCATATCTTAATGTGATGTTATGCTTTTCTGCTTTCGAATTCTATTTCTAGTCGAATGATTGAGAGATCTTCTCCTAAGTGTTGTCTAGTACGCTTTATTTCTCACTAATATAAGAAAAACTAAAACGAAATCTTATTTGATGTCTAGTGAAAGATATACAAGATTCAAAAAGGTCTTTGAAATACTGTATCAGAAAAATTTTTAGAAGACGGTACAAGCGCAAGATTAAGATTTGACACAGATATATATATGATTAACTGATTTAGTGAATGTTCTTTCATGCTATTTCTTTCTCAAGTACATGAAGTCTTAATGCACTTTCTCAAAAGATGTGTTGTTCACGAATGCAAATAAAATGATCTCAATGTTTATTTATACAATGAAACAAACCCAACCAATTATTTTTTCTCTTTATTCCAAATTTAGTGAGAAAATATTGATTACTACTGTGGGTGAAAGTGTGGACATATGTGTCATTAGAGTTTTTGGGGAAGGATTATGCACAACGACATCAATAGCGCACATCCATACCCTTCATCTTTTAAATTATTCGAGAGGAATATAAATCTAGTTTCTGCTTATTGATTGATTACAATTCGTGAATTCTAATATTCAATTGAAATCGAACAGAAAAATCTTATTTTTGGGGTGGATATGGCTGTGGGTATCTTAGTGAGACATGAGTGTGGATCTTCTATTCCATCACACCTATCAACATCCTTACTAACTAGATTTAATATAACATTAGACTGAGAATTTTTTGAATTACGTACGAAGGTTTCAACAAAAACTAATATGCTTGTATATAAGTTAATATATTCATCTTATCTAACACATTACTGATGAGGTAATCACTCAAAATAATGTCTCCCGTTTGAGCTCACACTACGTTTGGAAAGCTAGCTTGATGAGAATAGCAAACATTGTGAAAGAATTCTTTCTCATGAATCAAAGTTCGTGAGCACTTCAAGTGGTTCATTCGTAAATAATTATGGAATTTTATATTATTTTATTATTCAGCTGTTACAAAACTCGGCAGTACAGTATCCTTTTTTTCGTTTCTTGACACAAAATACATTTTGATGAGTAAACAAAAAAAACCGAAAGCAGTTAGAAGTATGGTAATCCAAAGTATTCATTTATTGAATTGTACTCTGGTCGTTGTTTTTGTTGAGTATTCAATCGTTGAATTTGAGCTGGAGGATAAAGCCATCCTTTCAAATCATCTTGTCGTGCTAGATATTCTAAAACATAAGCAGCTGCTTGTACCATCTTTTCAAATGCAAATACATTGATATTTTGAATCGAATCACATGCTCGATGATAACATGGATCATGAATAGCACCGGCAATACCACCCATTCCTTGACCAAGCATTTTATCATAATAATTACGTTCTTCCATTGATTTCAAACCATCTGCTCCCGAAAATAGTCCTCCAGCGACTATTCCTTCAGCTAAAAATGGACCATAATCACTTCGACCACTAAAATCAGTGTTATTCCATGGTAAATTTTGTTCAGTGAACCATTCACGAAAGAGACTCGTAATTTTATTGCTTCCTGGAAGTGCTTGTGTTGGAGTATTATTGTTTGCTGTTCGTCCATCATAAATGCCAAAGATGTAATTTGGTGAGCCAAGCATATCATAATTAAGATTGATCAAGTAATCACTGAGACGTTCACCAGCAACAGTCGAAAGTTTAGCTTGCTTGACATGAAAGTCAGAGCCAAGAAGACCAACTTCTTCAGCACCCCACCAACAAAATCGAACTCGATACTTATATTTTTCATAAGACGTTTGAAAAAGACGTGCAAGAGCTACAGCTAAACCAAGATTTGCTGCACTACCACTACCTAAAATAACAAAGATATGAGTAAAAATTTCAATATTCTAACTTACCGTTATCGTTAATGCCTGGACCACCCGGTACACTATCACTATGACCGCCTATCACAATAGTTTGAGTAGCATCACCTGTCGGTGTATCAGCACATATGTTACCAACAGGATATAGTGATTCATCAGTTACAGAGATAGTTATACGAACACCGACATTATTTGATGGATCTTGAGCAGCATCAGCAAGTTCTTGGCCAAGAGTATACGAAAGAAAGAGCGCTGGTAATTCATTATTCTGTCCTAAACTAACATAAATGGGTGCCATACTATTTGGTGATGTACCATCATTGTATAGTAGAAGAGCAGCAACGTTGTACTTCGATGCAAGTACTGCCTTGTTAATAAAACTACAATTACCTCTTTTCACTAATGCAACTCGACCATTAGGAGAAGGATTCACAGCAAGCCAATCAGCATCAGAACAACCTAAATTTGGAATAACACTTATTGGAACATAATCAGCAAAATTAACTGATTTTGTATATTGAGCAAAAAAAAATTCTGATGCTGAAAGATTGGTTGAAAAAATGCGATTTACAGTTACACCATTTATGGATGTCATTAATGTTGGAATCGAACTAAGAACAAAATTTCTCAAATAAAAATAAGTTGTTGCTACTTTAAAATTTGTATGAGATGATAAATAATTATTAATATAATCGAGTGTTCGATTAAAACCAATTGTATTAATAGCTCGAGTACCATTTGCATTATTTGCTATATTTTGTAATTCATTAAGATGCATCATTACATCAGATATTTTAATTGATTCAGCATATTGGGAACCGAGAGATGGGCTATTGGTTTTGTCTTTTAATCGATTAACAACAACACCCAATGTAGCTGCAGCAAGAGCAAGTGTGACAAGAATTAGAATAACTCCAATGCCAATAGAGATTGATAGAGTTTTAACACGTCTATCTACTGAATATATCATATTGACTGTATGTTCAGGAGACTTGTCCTTTGAGACTTGATTATTTATCATAATGGTTCAATCGATTACAGCTCATTAACTCAAATAACAAGTGAAGCACAAATAGGAGCAAATAATCGATGATATTTATAGTAGAAGAAAGCCTTTGGGCTCTGGTCATATTTTTTCTACAATAAAATGTAATATAAAGATCTCACTTCAGTTTTGAGTGTTTGCTAACAACCATAATTTCTACAATTTAATCTATGCTCTATCGTAAAATAATTGAAATCCATTAGTCGAAAAAAAATGACCCGTGACATTTATGATGCTCGTTTATGATCATCGAACAATTCATATTATTATTATCAAGAAGAATATAGTCTTGTTATTTTGTTTTCAGATCATATACACTCAAGTATTTTTAATAGATAAATATAATCATGAATAAAACGTTAAAGAAAAAGGTAACCTAACTATTTATCCTTATTCTAAATAGAATCAAACAAATTTTATAAGATAGTGAATGAATTTATACTCTGCTGCTATGTATGTGAGCAGGGTGGAATGATAAAAGAAGCATTCTAATTTGTTTTCAATTTTTAAAATACAAAGCCAAGAATTCTATATTTGGTAATCATTTTTAAAGTCTACAAGCAAATCTCAATACTAAGAATGAAATAGATATGAGAAAAGTAAAATGTGTCTCACAGTCACTCTGTTTATCTTTTTTCATATAACATTTCTTCGGCTCATTTTTCAACATGATAGTAACATTCTTTTACACAAGTCTCTGATTATGACGAAAAATTGACGTCATGAGATTAGGGGTGGCACTTTAACTTTACTTTACTTTAATAAAGTAAAGTAAAGCATTTCACTTTACTTTATTGAGTAAGATAAAGTTGGATTACTTTACTTTACTCGGTAAAGTAAAGGAGATCTACTTTATCCGAAAAGAAAAGAAAAGTAAAGTGAAGTATTTCTTACTTTACCAAACAAGTAAAATATAATAAAATAAGATAAAGTACTGTATGTAGTTGATGATTATTGACGTATTAGAATGTGATTAATGTCTGATAATAAACTAATAAATCAATAACCATCAACTACATACTTTACTGTATCTTATTTTATTATATCTTACTTGTTCGATAAAGTAGATATACTTCATCCGAAAAGTAAAGTAAAGTAAAGGGAAGTATCTCTAACTTTGCCGAACAAGTAAGATGTAATAAAATAAGATAAAGTAAAGTATGCAGTCGATGGTTATTGATTCATTAGTTTATTATCAGACATTAATCACCTTTTAATACATCAAAAGTTGTGTCGAATTACGGATCGAAGGCTCCGAAAAATTTGAACCTAATTTTATTACATTGAGACTCGGCATTAAACCCTGAATATGTTTCATAATTTTATTTTCTACTTTATCACAACCCAACTTTCACACGTGGGGTCCTCCTCAGGTATCGAAAATACATTTTTTTCACTGCTCTATCACAGATCTATAACACTCAATAGTACCAAGTGTACTGATTACAAATATCTCATTTGTTTTCAAAAGTATTGAGATAAGCAAGATTGAAAGCATTCCCTAGCACCATTAAAAACTAGCATTTGTTCAGAAATTTTACTGAAATACGACCAGATTCGTTTCATCGAGATCAAAATGGACTTAACTTGATTAAAAATTCGTTGTCTAACGACACATTCATTGGGAAACATTTTCGTAACTAATTTTTATGAAATATGCATTATTTAATGGTTTAGCCCAAGGTTGACTATTGGGTTAACCCACAAAATTTACCTGAAACTTTTTATGGGTAGGTCGGAGGTGGAATTATATACGGTTGTGGACAAAAGTAGGTACTCCCCTAAAGTGATATTATATTCCATCATTTCGAACTAATCTTTTGGGAGAATGTCGGTCTCATTGAACCCTGATCGCAAACAACACCACACCCTCAGTTGGTTGACGTTTGCTGAAGATATCACTTGTACATCATCATCGCCTTTCGAAGGTCACATCTCAATCATTTTTCGACATTCTCTTTCGCGCAACCGATCATTCGAAACCTCAAAGATGCAGCTTTCATTAATAAAATTTTGGTAGGAAATAGCGGAGATCCGAAGTTCGCATTGAAAACTTCTACCAAGTAGAAAATCCTTGTTTTCAGTTTGGAATCGATAAGTTGAGCTAAAATCGATCAATGCAGCGGAACATTGCAGCAATGACTCATCACCAATCCACAGATTTGTGGTAAAATATTTAGAGCCGTAGATCCATGTAGAGCTGAGATATAGTCATTGGAAGAGTTCACCACACCATACTTTGCCTATAAATGAAGCTATGGTACTATGTGGTGACCTTCGGACCCAATCAACTAGATAAGCAGGGCGACAACTAGCACCAACAAAAGTAAAAATTCGTTTTAGGAGGACGAAACACTGCGAACTAAAGGCTTTTGAGATGATATTTCCCCTCCATGTCTTCAATAAACCGTTGGCACTGCCTATAAGCGAGTAGAACTGTCAAATACTAGTGAATTTATGCTCATCTTTCGGGAAATACTCTTTTTTGGTCAGAATAATTCAGAAGGTATGTACAAAAGGCTGATTCCATGAAGCAGAAACTCTGTGTAGTCAGCAAAATGGTTTTGAGGTGAAAGGCTTCGTAACAGAGAAGTATATCGTGCATAGATACGCTACCAGGGGGAGGGGAAGAGTTTGAAGAAATTGAAGAGAAATACCATCTTAAAACTTTCAGTTCACAGTTTCGTCCTCCTAAAATGAATTTTTGATTTTTTTTTGGTGCTAGTTGTCCCCCTACATACCTAGTTGCTTGGGTCCAAAACTCACCGCATAATGCCGTAGCTCCATTGATAGACAAGCTGTGGCATGGTAAACT